TAACTACTTATTTTTCATTCTTGTTCTGTTCTGAATACCGTTAAATTTAAAATATTTGTTGTAGAGTGAGGGGAACTAAATAGGCTGTTTATATTTGCCAGTATTTTTATATATATTTATATATATATTAATGTAGCCTAATTGTTTGCAGTTACAAGGTTAACGGGTGTCTTTGGAGGAAGATCAATTTCTCTTTCACAAGATTACTTCCTCTTTTTGGCCGGGTTTCGTTTCTCCGTGTCGTAAACTCTAGGGGCGAGGCTTCTAAACCAGGGAGTTTTTAGGGGCGTTCAAATGATTTTATCAACACATTTATCAACGTGCGATCATTCGTAAGATGAGATTGGCGGCATACGAATGTTTCATGAATCACACGTGAACTCTGTCGTAAGTTGATTTGTGCGCACGGATCTGCGCTTGTTTCTACGTTAGATTGATAAATGAGGCCCATTGTATCTACAAAAATATTAAGCAGCACAACTTTTTCAACACTGATAATAATAAAAAAGGTTTCTTGAGCAGCAACTATTAGAATGATTTCTTAAGGATCATGTGACATTGAAGACTGAAAGATGTGGACAATTGAGCTTGCATCACAGTAATAAATAACATTTTGAAATATATTAAAATACAAAAGCATAAAATTATAATTTTTGATCAAATACTTGCAGCCTTTGGTGAGTGTAAAACAACATTAAAATAATCTCACAGACCCCAAACTTTTGAGTGGTAGTATTTATTAGTGTTATATTGGCCATTTAAAATGTCAAATTGGCTGTAGCATTTATCTTTCTGTGTGAACTGATTCCTAAAAATAATAGAGTCTTTCACAGAAATAATTAGCTAAAGATTTTTTTAGTATTTTAAGATGGGATGCTGTAGCTGTTGAATTATTAGGTTTTAAGCACCACAGTCAGCTTTGATGGATACTATGTTAGTTTATAGCTAATTTTTTGTTTTGTTTTGTTTTTTGTTCTGGCGACATTCAGTCAACATCTCAAAAAATGCTGGTAAGTTTATTTTGTGAAACAGAAATTAGTTTTATTTGGTCTTCTGTGATTTTATTATTTATTTTTCCTTTCGACTTGTTTTTTAATTTTTGTCCCTAAAAAAATCCATCCATATGCTGGTTCGCACTTAAAACGCACCGAAATCTGCCTTATTTTCTGCTGGTCACAATCCATCAATCAACCAATAGCTCTGTTAACGTTTCGTTGACTCCTGCTGGATCTGAGAACAAGGCTTTCATTTGCTTCTTTCTTTAAAGTCTTCATTTAACTTTTTTACAATACTTTGCCAAAACTCCATGTTTCCACCCCAAACCCCACCTTCGCATCTATGCATCACCTCATGTTCTTGAATCCGTTTGTTTGATTTGTTGTGATCAGCACGCATGCTCTCCACGAACGTGGTGTTTAACTCCTGATTTCTCTTTGACATCCTGTCCTGTTTAGATCAATTGTGTGTATGCTAGAAATGTTGCATTGTTGCCCATTGCTTGTGCTGTACTATTTCAGACCTCATAATAATGATATGAACATGAATGTTGCCTCTCCATCCTGCACTAAATAATATAATTCTCTCAGAGAATGAATGCATCATACTTTTAAGGCAGATCTTCATTACTAAATGGCTGTGTTGAGATTGGTTGTCATGCTGATTGCTTTGCTGTGGTTGTGTTCAGGCTGTCATATAGGCATATCACCATTATTTCTTCTTTATTCACTGCATGAACTGGGAACAAATTTCTAACTATTATTTGTGCTTAGGCTATTTTAAGTTACTAGTGGTTACTTATTATCATCTCTTCTTAAGTGATCGAGCTCAAGCCAGATTCATCAGTTGTTCAGAGAGATCGCAGATATAAAGGCCTACTTGCACCAAGAGGCAATAGTTCACAACAGTGACCGCTCACGTTTTTAGAGAAAGTATGACCATTTTTCCCAATTTTCGCCAAAGGAATTTCAGTTAATGTTTCAATAAAGAGTTTTAAGCCATGAACCCATCTAACCAGCTCTGACAGGAGCATTACAAATTTGCTGGTCTGTGTTCTTAAAGCAATGCAAATTATTTAATTTAATTAAAAACAATGGCACAGTATAAAACTATTGGCTTAGAGTCATCGATTATAAGTATAAAACCAATATATGTTTTTATTGACTGACTCGTTTGTCATTTGCAATGCTTTATGGGAGTCTGTGGTTGGTGCTGAGCTTTTTTTCCATCTATTTTTGTTTCCTTGGTACCATTGATTTTCTCTGATTGGTGGTCCTGTCTTAAGGATTATGGGTAGAGACACTGACTTTTTCACCTTTTAAGGCATGTGACAAACAAATGTTGGGAAGTTCTAAAAGAACTGTTAAAACTGAGTGGTGTCAATCTCAAAAAATTAGGAAAGAAAGCAACAAACTAAACTAAAGTCTAATGACACACTGAATGTCATTTTTCTGTGACTATATACAACACCTCCAAATAAGTAGGCTGAAAGTCTCATTTAACTGTATAATAAATTCAGTACAACTAAAACATCCTATATATTAACTGTACATGTGGAAAAAGTCAAATATGCCTTTAATCTATGTTTTTCCATTTCTTTATTTTGTTTTTGGTGTGAGTAGGCCTTTATGTATGCGGGGGCAAAAACAAAAGTGTTGCATTTATAATTTTGTTCAGTGTATTTAATAAAATCCATAAATTTACAAATTCAGTGTGGACTGCAGAAGCAGATTTTTGGGTACCACGTCTCCATTTGTATCACAAAAACATCAAGAGCCTAATTTCAAAACCGAATTACATTACATAGAACAGCTCACTGCATATACAAAGTTAGCCATTGTAGTGATTAAACTAATGATGGGATGGGTTATAAACAGGTTTACATAAATGTGACCCTGGACCACAAAACCAGTCATAAGGGTCAATTTTTGAAATTGAGATTTATACATCATCTGAAAGCTGAATAAATAAGCTTGGCCGAGATACAACTATTTGAAAATCTGGAATCTGAGGGTGCAAAAAAATCAAAATACTGAGAAAATCACCTTTAAAGTTGTCCAAATGAAGTTCTTAGCGATGCATATTACTAATCAAAAATTAAGTTTTGATATATTTACAGTAAGAAATGTACAAAATATCTTCATGGAAATGATCTTTACTTAATATCCTAATGTTTTTTGGCATAAAAGAAAAATCGATAATTTTAACCCATACTATTTTTTTGGGCTATTGCTACAAATATACCCCAGCGACTTAAGACTGGTTTTGTGCTCCAGGGTCACAAATATCTTTGAGGTTGGGTTATGATCACTTATTTAGCTTGATTATATCCAGACAGGTTAGTAATATTTCTCTGGTTCTTTTGCAGTCCACTCCTCTTCACCTTGCCGCTGGGTATAATCGAGTGCCTATAGTGCAGCTGCTGCTGCAGTACGGTGCTGATGTCCATGCCAAAGATAAAGGGTGAGCAACACCTGATTTCTCTCTTTAACATGTAGTGTCCGGTAACGTATTTTTGCTTCAATAATGACATATTAAAAAAAAAAAAGAAAAAATTATATTCTAAGTAAATAAATGATAGACTGTTACCCATTTTTTGAAAGAAATTAATACTTTTGTTCATCAAGGATTAAACTGATCAAAAATAATAGTGACAAAAGATTTCCATTTCAAATAAATTCAGTTCTTTTGAACTTTCTATTCATCAAAGAATCCTGGAAAGCAAAAGTTTCCATAAATATATTAAGCGGCACAACATTGATAATAATCAGAAATGTTTCTTGAGCAGCAAATCAGCATATTAGAATGATTTCTGAAGGATCATGTGACACTGAAGACTGATGCTGACAATTCAGCTTTACATCACAGGAATAAATTATATTTTAAAAAACATTTAAATAGAAAACACTTAATTTAAATTGTATTAATATTTCACAATATATTACTATATTTTTGATCAAATAAATTCAGTCCTGGTGAGACTTCTTTCAAAAACATTTAAAAATCTTCCCAACCCCGAACCTTTGAACGATAGTGTATATATAATATTTTATTACATATATGTTTAATTTAAAAAATGTGCACTGCCTAATAAGACCAGAAATGTATATTTGAAAAGTAAACATGGCGGTTTTTGAATTCATGTTAACTTTAAATGCTTTTATCATGATCTTGAATAATTCTAAAATGTTGTTTTGCTCTATCACTCTCTTTCTATCAGTGGTCTAGTTCCTCTGCATAATGCCTGCTCTTATGGTCACTACGAGGTCACAGAGCTTCTGTTGAAGGTAAAGAAAACAATCCAGCCAATACTTACTGATCAAAATATATTTGCTCCCCCAGCACAGATATAAACAGGTGATTTATTGGTTTGATTATTAGTTTTTCATTACACAATAAAACACATGATTGATGAGTTTCTGTATGTCTCGCTCACAGCACGGGGCGTGCGTTAACGCCATGGACCTGTGGCAGTTCACACCGCTGCACGAGGCGGCCAGTAAGAATCGAGTGGAGGTGTGTTCTGTATAAACGCAATATCACTCTCGTACTTGAGCGATACCGGCTCTATATCAGCGGCTGTGAGTGCTTCTGGCCTAATCACAGCCATGCTGATATAGAGCCGGTATCGCTCTCGTACTCGAGTGATATTGCTCATTAATGTTTAGATTTTATAAAATTATTGTGTGCACTCATCATTTTTCTAGAGTTTTACTGCTGAATTATCCACTAACCTTGTTTATAATAGTATTTTTGTCATAGATTATGATTATATATATTTTCATTTGTTATTTTTCTGTATCATGAAGTTGTCTATATTTAGTAGATTGTGTTTAACACACAAAACAGTGATGACATTGATTTAAAAAAAAAAAAAAAAACTGCTGGTATCTAATTGGCCGATACTCAGAATTTTTGGGATCAGATCAGTTCTGAAAAAAAAGTATCGGTGCATCCCTAAAATGATGCATTTCATACCATTTTTTGCTTTTAACAACCATTTGTTAGGTAAAATAGCATTGTATTATCCCTTAATCAGCAGAAAAACTGCCACAAATAAATAATTCCTAATTTCCTTTGAGCCAGATTAAAACTATTTGTTCAATTCTCAGCTGATATTCACATGTATGAAATTATTTTATGCTTAATCCTGATTTCAAGTAGTGCTGGGCGGTATGACCAAAAATTTATATCACGATATTTTTCAAAATTATACCGGTTTCACGGTACATGAAGGTATTTTTTTTCATGCATGACCAGGTGTTAACCATATTTTCTACTGATTGAGAGAGGAAATACTGCAGTATATTGACTTAA